GGAGACTATTATGTTTGCCTCCCCGTATGGCCATGGTCCAAGAACATCATAGAGACATATCTCGTCATGAGAGCTTTTCACATTTTCGGCTTCATTGTCTTTTATGCACTTCCACTGTTAATAACAGCTGTAGTCAACTGCCTCCTTGCTCGTAGAGTCTGGTTTCACAAGTCTTCAGGGACTGCTTCCAGTAACAGAGCCTTAACAGCTTCGAGGCGAAAAGTCATCAGAATGTTAACCATCATCGTGATCGGATTCGCCTTATGCTGGCTACCTTGTTACATAAATCACTACTTCATGTTTTTTCAGCCAGCTGTTTTTGAAAAAATTCCCATCGCGGTTTGGAGTTTCAATTTTTGGCTGTCGCACGCAAATAGTGCAATAAATCCTCTCTTTTACATCGTTTTAAACAGGCGTTTTCGCAAAGCATTTCTGGATGCTTTGACTGTACTATTTGCATTTCCTTGTCGAGTAGTAAGTCACTGCATGTCCTATTTTACTTAGGAACTATCAGTCGCCATGCCTTCCCCCCAAAAACGAAGCACCTTGAGCGACCTAACACAGCAGAATGGTCTCTGTGTAAGGTAGATTCTCGAAACATCTCTAAAAGAACCCGTGAAACGAAACTGCATGTAATCTTATAGAACAATAGTAGTTCTCAGAATAAACCTGGGGCCTGTGAGTTTTTAGTTACATATATCTGAGACAATAGTGAGAATACGACTCGACTGTTTGTAACGCCTTTCTCACAGGTGTACGTAGTTTTAATTGCAATTTAGCCACATTTCTTTAACAATATATATTTCATTAAAATGTTAGTTACATAGAGGCAACAGCCGAGTTTTGAATATGAAAATTTTGCTAACTTGTATTTTTTTATAATACATATCTGTCTGAATTCGTTAAAACAAGGTTTTCGCCTGGCGCCGGCCGGGCACCAGGCCAGTGCGGTCTCCAAAAATGTGGGGGGCTTGGGGTCTTGGTCGGCGGCACACGCGGGTAGCCCGGGAACTGCCCTAACGGTGGGTGGGTGGATCAGGCCTGGGGAGCAAAACTAGAGGGGTAGAGAAAGAGATCTTTTGACACAACCTTTTCAGTAAGGAGCAGTGTTTACTAGAGGCTTGACTGACAAGTACCTTGTTCTTACTTTGTCCTAGCCAGCTGAATCAGGCCTCTGCTGGCAATAATTAATTTGATAATTGTAGAGCTCAGGGGGTTACCCAGTCTCCTGAGTGGGGAGGGTGAAGTTTTTGGTACCAAGGACATACTTAGCTGAGGACCTGAAGACACTCAGAGAAGCCATGTTTATATAAGTCTGCGCTTCTTCCTGATTAAACAGCCGCTAACTGAACTTGCAATTTTATTCACATTTTAATGCTTTCTACATGTACATATTTGCTGTTTTGCTGACCTAGCTATTTCTTTGTTTCAGTACTTTTTTTAAAATAGCAATAGTAACAAAAGTCTACAAGTTAAAAATAGATTTTGTTTTTAGTTTTCATTTAATTCTATTAAGTGATTTCTGTTTGGATTTCTGTTGTTCTCTTTTGTCCCCAGGGGTTGTAAACATCATATATAACTAAGCTAGTTTTTACTGTTTTCGATTAAATTGCTGATTACATCGCGGATTTTAGAGCTGATTACATTGCTCGCCGTGTATAGCCAGAGTTATGGCCAGTTAATTTACCGAGAATGAGAATAAACTGGGGATGTTGGAACCAAAGTTCAGTTCTGTTTTATCTACTGCTGTACCAGTTAGTTGTTTTGATTCCGCTCCTATAACAGAGATGTGACGGCTTTCCCACCCCAAAGCGAGTTGCCATTTGAGTCTACTTTAATTCCCCTAGTTTTATCGAGCGTTAAGCACCGAGTTCTTGGTGAGCCTTTAATTTGTTTCAAAGTGGAAAACCTCCCTTCACAATATACATATTACAAAAAAAGTCATTTTACTTCATTATCTTTGTTTTTTTGTGTGTGTGTTTTTCCCTCCAATTAGCACGGAAATCACTAAAAATGAGAGCTTTAAAGACGTATTTTCCTGCTAATTGGATGTCAGTACTGAAATGAAACTTTGTTTTCAGTTCGACCTGTGGGGGCCGTCTCCCTGTCACCTTGAACCGGCAGGGACACGGGAGCGTCAAGCACCAGTAAGCTCTCGGCATGTAGGAAAGATCGCGCAAACTTGGCCAACGCGGAGGGTCCAGAAGAGCTTAGTAGTGTGAACATCAAAAACCCTGTAGGAAAAAAAAAAGTAACAAAACAAACACAAAAAAAAAGGTCACAAAACGGTTCCACAAAGCTAGGGATGATGATGATTGATGATTGTTTCGGCGCATGCGCATAGGCCAGATTTCGAACCTCTTTTGAAAATCTATTTCGAACTTTATTTCTTGCTCTTTTTCTTCTCTTTACCTTTCGTTCTAGTCCTGTTGTCCACTTTATACCGAGACAGAAAAGCCCTCGCAGTGTTTTTTAATACAAAAAAACGTCTTTTTTTAACGTGGCCAAATTTCCATTAGTATCGATTTTTATCTGTTTTAACTTGTTTCAGTGATGTGCGATAAGTTGTTTGATTTTACAAATACGCAGTGTGACATGTAACAAGCTGCAGTTAAGTGTTTTCTGTTTTTAAACACATTTGCTTTTCTCCGACTGGATGTACTAAATATTGAAGAGGAGTTTCGTAAGTATTTAGTTCATGCTGTTATTTATCGCCAAAAGAATTTAGACTTTGCTGAGGTCGCTAATCGAAGCTTCTCCCATTGCTACCGGCCAAGCCATGAAGTTAGAGTTAACAGAAAAATCACTCATTAGTTTAGTAGTTGGCTGGTAACAAACGTCTTGTCTTACTTGTGCTTGGTACTTAATAAGATAAAGAAAGTCAGAAAACCGTACATGTCGATTATACAACATTACATAGTTACAACATTACATCTGATCGTAGTTAGTGGTCTAAGCCTTACAAAGCTGTAAGAGTCAATGTCAGTAAGAATCAGAGATAATCCCAAAATCGCGGACACAGCTCAAAATTCGTTTTCGCTGATACTTTTTACATTGATAGAGTATTGTATCGTAGTAAACAAAAGAAGGTTAGTTTGGTCTAATTTTTGCGTTTATAAAGGGAATTAAACAAAATCGGTCGGGTCCGGTTTGAACCAAAACGACCTCTTTGATGAACCGAAATTTCACTATATACGTGAGTCTTTCAAGTTAGCGGTATAAAACCTATAAATGATTTCTTACTATGAATAAATAGCTTGCCCCTTGGAAAATTAAATATTGTTTATATTGACAAGTTGTCAGCTCTACTAACCTAATACGGGTAATCTATCTGTCATACAAAAAAACAAACGGAAACAGAAACTAAAACAAGACTGTTCACTTTACCGAATTTTTATCGCCGAACGATTTTTTGGAGACGCGATGATGCCCACAATTATTCAAACTTTCTGCACTAAACGGAATTTAACAAAATGCGAGAAAGAACAAGAAGAACTGAACAGTGGAATGTGTAAAAGGGATGTAAACAACCTGTGAAAGAAACAAGGTCCATTTAGCCACCGAACAATTGCAAATGCATTTCCGAATTGGTTAACGGAAATCATCCAACATGGTAAATTTAAAGACCTTTTGTTATTTTCCAATTCCGGCAAAAATTTACCACCGCCTGGTTAGCTCAGTTGGGAGAGTGCGGGTCTGCTGGGTGGAAGGTCGGGGGTTCAACCCCAGTCGGACCAACACTCAGGGTCTTCAGAAGCAACTGAGGAGAAAGTACTGCCTTTGTAAGGATATCTGCAAATGTTTAGACTTTTTAGTCTTCTCGGATAAAGATGAAAAACCGTAGGTCTCGTCTCACAGCCCTTTTCTTATCTGGTTCCAGTGGGACATAAAAGAACCCACACCACTGTTCAAAAACAGTAGAAGACATAGACCCTGATGGTGTAGCCAACCTTTCCTGGGCTGGGTGGGGTATCCGTAAGGAGAGATCTTAATATAGGGAATGATCCTTCTCCAGGTGTCGCAATGGCTACATACCTTTCATGTAAACAGTGTATGTATGAAAGATGAATTATCATTTCGCTGTTGGCAAATTTCTCTTCTGTTGAAACTCCTTAAATTTGCGACAAAATTTTCTTTCTTAGTACTGGAATTTATTCAATTGAGTTTTCTCTCCTCTGAGATTTAAATGAAAACCGTTCTGCTAAACCTCATCTCTTTTTTCCTAGTAGACAAATGTTTTTTTCTCAAGGCGTTGACGAAAATTCTGAAAAACTCTATTTACCAGACAAAGCGGTTTGATAAGCTTTCATTTCCGACCAGTGCTCGTTTCATTTCTGACCAATGCTCCAATTACTCGCTCGTGCGCGTTAAGTCACTTTCCTTGAGTTTGTCACTGATTCCTGTTGTAAGTTAACACACCCATTAAGGTCATGTTCACACTGAACCGGATAGCTTTTGGGCTGACCACCATACCGGATGTGGCTTTTGTTCACACATGATACGGTGATTTCGGCTCCGATCTTGGAAGTGTCAAAAAGTGGACCCGGCGTCACATGTCAAAGACGTTTCGGCCGCTCCTCTTCGAAGCGAGGAGTGGAACCTACTTAGTCTGAAGTAAATATTTAGAGTGAGGATTAGAATTTGGTGCAGATCCTCTCGGTCAACCGCACCGGCGATGTTCGATGTTTGAAAACCGGGCTTGTTGCAGTTCTGTGCCGTTATCGTTCATAATCTTTCATAATTTTCCCGGATAGCTTTTCATGTCGGAACTAAAGGCTGTCCTGTATTTTGCAGACATATCCTTAGGCTCGATTACCGCCTCTTTCCTGAGTCCGGTATTCTATTGAACGTTTTAATGTGTTATATCGCGCCCTTCTGACTCAGTAGCAAAATGCTACATGATTCGTAAAAAATATCTCACGATATTACATACTAAACCGTCCAATAAGTTATAAGTCACTTTTTGGCCATTTGTCTATTTGCTGTTTACAGGGTCTGTGGTAGCCATAATCGTCGCTGTATGGATTCTGTCCTCATTAGCTGGATCAATGATAGAATTTCTACCCTTGGAACAAGAGAAATTCTATGGCATAATTATAACTGTCGCATTCTTCTTCACACCACTCATCGTTATTTTGGTGGCTTATGGTACGATTTTTCACATAGCTAGAGCGCATGCACGAGGCAGAGACGTCAGTTCGTTCAAAAAGGTACTATGCTATGCTATTGTTTTTGGCATTTCTATTGATAGTAACCACTGGACCGTACTGTCTGTATGATCATTATCACGTGTGCTTTTTCTCGATTATACCCAGTGCTGAATGGCAGTGATCATAGTCCATGTTTTGGTAATATGTTCCAATCTCATTAAAATTATAGCTAACGTTACTAAAAAACACATATACAGGCAAACCTGTATTATGCGGTCAACCTTTGGGAATGGCTTACTGACCGCCTAATGCAGGTTGACGGTTTAATACAACTTTGACAAACCTAAGAGTTGTTCAAGCAAATAAAGATGGTGAAAGAGCGAACCCGCGACAAAACTACTTCAAAGTGCCTCTGCCTTTTCTTGTACCAAAAAAGGAAGTAATGCTAAAAAAAGTAGGGATTTTTTTTGGTATGATGCATTAGTATGGTACATATTGTCAAAGTGACCGTCTAATAGTAACGTAACCGCCTAATGGAGGTGACCGCTTAATTCAGCTCAGTTTTACAGTAACTTTCAGTGATTTCCGGGATGTAGTCAAACCTCCTCTGTCAGACACCTCTATTACTTACAGCTCACTTGCTCCCAAAGGTAGAACACTTCATGCGGTTCCTATCGGTATAATAATGGACACCTTTATTGTGCGGAAAACGGACTTTGTCCCTTTGGTGTTCGCACCGTAAAGAAGTTTCCATGCTTTTCCCGTGGCAGATATAAAGTAACTTAGCGTGATAAATACACCAGACAAATACAAGGTACAAAAACTGTACTTGGACAGCAAATCAAAACACTTCCAAATACTCTAACCGCCCTCGTCACATCGTATTCATCAGTCGTCGGATCTTATCGACCACGTTATCTTTCATTACTTGACCATTCAATGACGCTGAATATTGGTGCTGATTTTAGGCACGTGCATACACTATCCCACTTTAATGTAGGGCCAACACTGGCAAAGCTCTACAAACAAACAGTTCTTAATCAGTGTCATGGAGAGAATTACATGCACATACAACATTACTAACGACAACTAACCAACAGTGGTTTCCGCAACAGAAAGAAACGCACAGTGAACGACGCAATAGGATGGTCACTTGACGGAAGAGCACAAAAAAACTATACAGAAGTACGACTAACGAAGACTGACAAGACAAGACAAGATGATTTATTTAACTCAGCTCAGTTTTACATGACATAAAGGTTAAATTTACATAGGCATCTAAACACACAGCAACTAAGACTGAGACAAAGTGAATTTTGTCGTTGGTCAAATAATTTTCACTGACTCTTTTCTTTTTCTTTTTTTTTTTGTTCTTGTTTTTTTTTTTCTTTGCTTTCCTTTTCTGCTTTCAAAATGACGTTAGTATTTTCTGTTCATCTTTTGATTGATCTGGATTTTTGCATAGATGAGTAGTTTGTCGTTTATTCCATTGAAATGGACGTTCTTTTCACACCGTGTTTGGTATGCTTTAATGATTTTACCATAAGCCACAATTTAACGATGTTGTTTTTGTTTCAGGATTTGCGTATTGCTACAACAGTAGCCGTAGTCATTGGCCTTTTTGTCATCTGCTGGACTCCATTTTTTGGCATCAACTTCGCGTTCGCGGTTTGTATAGCCACACTGTTCAAGGGAGCCGGTTGTCCAGGCCTTATGACTTTACTAACGTGGATTCTTTCGGTAAACAAGTGGCTTCAGTACGGGAATTCGGTTTGTAATCCCGTCATTTATGGCTTCCGCAACAAAGATTTTCGGCGAGCGTTTCGAAAGATTTTACTCGGATTGTGCTGTAAAAAGGTGCGGCTGTCAGATTACAGCAAGAGCGCGTACGGACGCACGGTACGAAGCGCTTACTTACGGCGAGAATCAAGCTTTGAAAACTCGCGATCAGTCATTCTCCCTCCCAACGTATCGCTTGGAATGTTTGACATGCGGGATAGCTACCGTAAGGCGATGCAAAGCGGACGCAGCAAGCCGATTAAGCTTAAATTTACACCAAAGAAAAGCGTGGCAAATGGTCTGCTATCGATAAACGTTGACGCCTTTCGCACTTCAAATCAATTTACTTCCAGTACAAGTGTTTGGAATTCGTCTTCCGAGGCTTCCGTCTCTCCAGCGGAGCTTTGTAACCCTGCCTTCGAGGAGGACGATCAAACCGATATCTGCCCTATTGATCAAGCGATACCAGTAAGAGATTCTAACGATAACATCTCCTCAGAATCAACTAATTCTATGTATAAGAGTTTCTCAAAAGGATCTGTGCATAGCGACCAAGCCTATGTTCGATTTAGGATTCCAAAACCAAGGGAAAGGATGGCGAGTTCAAAACCGTTGCTAACCTTGGTTCTGCCTTGGATAGGAAAAGGTCATTATCGGAGATATTTCTACGTACGATTAGTGCAAAAGACACTCTGAAAAGAAAACTGCAGTTGTCATTTTCTTAGAAATACTTCACGTATAGTGAAGAAAAAGTTAACATTGATTATGCTAGTATGTGACTCTTTCGAAGAATTGAGGTTTTGCAGATTTTATGCTAATGAAAAACAAAAAAAAGAGACTGACAACGGCTACGTACCAGCAAAATATCGAGGCCCCCTTTTGGATCTTTGAGATCTTTCGCCGCAGAATATAACATTTTATCTTCAGCTAATGTTTGAGTCACCACACTATATTTGTCTGGCAGTTCAGCGAATTAGAAGGCCAGACATAGCAAATGTGAAAAGTAGACTGCAGTTTGACTTATTTGTTCTGCTTAATGTACCTATTTATCTTTAGCAAAGTGACGTCATTCTTAACTGTAGCTATTGAAAGTCCTTAAGTATGAAGCCAATGAAATGCTTCGCTAAATAGCTCTAAAACACCTTAACAGTGTAGGTGGACTATGATTATGACTGTGATAAAACGGAAGCTCTGATTGGCTTTCGTTTTCTAGCTAATACGGTTTAATTTAGGGTCGAATAATCATTTAACCCTATTCATACCGTGGGGCTTTTGAGCTGCTATTGTTAAAGATAATTTATGTGTTAGCCAACTTCCTGATTTTGTCACACACCTTACTATGTAAGTATTTTTGAATTTGCTTAAAGTCTACTTTAAGGGAAATTTGGATTCTACCAAGAAATTTAGCAATATGACGTCATAATGAATCAATCAAGTTATACCTAGAAGTTGGAAATTATTTTAGTACATTCCTTGTGTAATTTTGGTGGCCATAGCATGATTAGTTTTGAAGCAAAAAAAGCCCAGTTAGTGAATAACGTTAAGGTAAGCCTATTTTATTCAGACTTTCAGCTAATAATTCCGATGAGTAGTGGCTTTGTACGTATTAGGCACCTAGACACTCTTTATGTTTATTGTCTTATCATTCCATTAGTTCCGTATTATTATCATTATTAATATTAATATTATTATTATTATTATTTATTTGACCTTTAATACTGGGAAGCGAAGCAATGTACAAAGAATAAAGAATAAACGACTTCCATTACATATACGAGTATGACAGTTAATGTCAAAGAAGTTGTTAGCTCCATTCTATTGCTGACCAATGAACAGATGTTCACCAAAAGCTTTCTTTGACAAGGAAAAACTTTTCACGGAAAACGTGCTTGTGTAAATATGAAAACCCGTCATAAACCCTTTTAACTTCCAATAGCTTCTTGCAACGTATTGAGACATCAAAAAAGGTGAAAAAAACAAAATTTAAACTCTTACACTGTTTATAAGCAACAAACCCATAACTGAAGAGCTGATGAGTGAAATGTCTTAGCATTCACACTACATCCTGTTTTTCAAACAAAATTTTCTGAGGTTTTCTTCTCTGTACCACCAGCTTCATTAGAGCAAACAGAGATAAAAAGCAGGTCAACATCATTCAGCCTTCTGTTCGATAATTGCTTCCTTAGTTCAAAATATCAAGCACCATGGTCACTACCCTGGGTTCCAATGGTTATTTATTTATTTATTTTAATTCCTAACAGTTCGCGCGACAGAGAGCCGCAAAGCGCCAAGAGAAAAAGAGAGCTTTACCAACCGTTAAAAGCACACAGTAATTTTCAAGGAGTTATAATAACTCCTCTAGTGGGGTTAATTTAACCCCTTACAGTGGAGTTATTTTAACTCCAAAAAGGAGATTAAAGAACTCTTTTTCAGGAGTAAAAATGACCCCAGATATTGAGCAGTTAAAATAACCCTAAAAAAGGAGTTATCCTGTACCCAAAATGTTTACTCCACTTTCAGAGTTAAATTAAGTCCAAAAAGAGTAAAAACAACCCAAGTAAGGAGTAAAAATAACCCCATTTCCGGAGTTATTTTAACTCCAGACTAGAAGTAAAAAGAACTCTTTTTCAGGAGTAAAAATGACCCCAAATTTGGAGTTAAATCAGGAGTTAAAGTAACCCCAAAAAAGGGGTTATCCTGTACCTAAAATTTTTACTACATTTTTGGAGTTATAATAACTCCCTAAAATTTACGGTGCACAGTTTATTTCATCCTAGGTATTTTGAGAACGGACCTCTGGAACGGCCAGAGTATATGCTCACCGAACTGAAGGGTACTAAACTCAGAAGAATTTTAAAGCCGTGAAGGCCGATTGCCTCACCCATAGGGTCTGATAGAATTGGACCAGTTGTTCGAAAGATGGATAACGCTATCCACTGGATAAATCTATCCACTGGATAATACAATTGATTTCCCTAAATATTTATCCCTTGGATAACGATTTATCCGGTGGATAGCGCTATCCAACGTTTGAACAACCGGAGCCTGAAGGAGGCTACATGTTTAATAAATGACCGTAAAGCGAGTCCACTCCCGCCGCCATTTCGGAATTCGTTTGCGTTTTAGTAGATTGGCGCCACAGGAAGAATGTTTTTTCCTATTTATATTCACGACTAAGAGACGGGAATGGGTGTGCAGCTCGAACTGTGAGCCTGAGTGTTTATTGCCGTCCAGATATTCACTATCATAACTAAAGAATGGTATACAAATATTCCTAAATAAAGTCACTCAGGCTAAACTGTTAAAGTGCGCCGCCTGATACGAAAGCCCAAAAAACCCAATGGGAAAAAATTGGGAACGTATTCCCCAACCGATGCCGTCGCACAACCTCTGGGGGTTAAAGGTAAAAATCAGTCGATAGATAAATGAAGTTACAAAAGTTCATGATGGTTCGAGAGCAGAGATTCATACATTACAACTGTCAAAACCATTACAACCCACGGGAATTACACCCAGTGAGGCGCATGCGGGTAGGGAATTTGACATCCTGAACGTCCCCAGGGTGGGAAATTTGACTCAGCCGCCATCTTGGAAAGTGGAGGACCAGGGAATGCATATGAGTGATAAGAGGTCCGCCATCTTAGAAAATACCCAGTAGTCATCTGGATGAGTTTCACACATTTTGGTGTGCTCATTTCTTCGTGAAGGATGGCGAAACGAAACTTGCTGTTTTAGGTTTTGAAGTTTTATGACAAAAAGTATTTTGTCCCTTAGCATTCGGAAGCAAAACTTACACAAAGTCTCATTTTGAAAATATTCTTTCTACTTACATGTTTCCACCAGATGCTGCCCTGCCTCAAGTTTTTGATGAAACGAAAGATCAAAAAGACATGAAAAATTCCTGGAATTCGGTGTTAGATTTGCTAGTATACTCAAAATGTCTATTAAATGAAATTCTGGACCACGGGTACAAAACAACAGCCCTAAGACATTAAGCCTTCTTGATGATGGCATGTCATGTTTGGGATGGCATTGCACATTTCGCATTGCTGTAAACACTGTGTGAGACAATTAAACGTATTTTCGGGAGTATGGCATGTGTGTTAAGAGTGGTTGTCAGAGAAAACCGGGCAAAATGTTAAAAATGTCAACGGAAGGGGGTCAACAGAATAAGTTCATACTAACATCATAGATAGGTCTGGTGGAGTAATGGACAAATATAATAAACATAGGCTCTTCACTGCTCTTGTATTAGAGATACGAGAATCACTTTATTCGACCCCCTCGGACGCCATTTTTATAAGCAAATTTTCACCATTTTCTGAAACTCACAGAACCCTCAAAATTTAACGAGCGAAGTTTATTTTTCGCATGCGACACAACACATCACAGAACTACTTTCTAAAACCATAAGATTTGTTAAGCACCCACGGACAAGACTAAAATTTTCTTATTTTATCTGACCTAAACTCAGTGTCCGCAAACGAGCAAAAAATCGGGCATTTTTGAATTGATCTACAGCGCACAACTAAAACGACAGAACAACTCTGACAGCCAAATTGCAGTCTACTATCATCTATGTAACCAAAACACTAATAATCATTTTGGGCCATTGAAACAGGAAGAAATTAGAAAACTCACATTTGTTATAGTTTCCAAGCTTTTTCTTGCAAACAGGCCGATCCCTTCGTGTTTGTTTTAAGTCCTCGTCGTGAATTTTCGTCCATATTTCGCTGTAAAGTATGTTCAGCAGCTGGAGAAAATATCAAAAAGCTCGAAATACTGCCTAGGTTACTTGTTCAAAGGGCAAAAAGTACTGAACAACAGGATGAAACTAGAAAATAACAAAGCGACGCCATCTTGAAAATTCAGCACTCAGGAGGGACTGGCACTAGTAGCTGCCTTGTCCACAACGTGATGAATTACCAAATAGATAAAAAACAAAAACAAACAAACAAACCGGCTTATCAGTTGCCTACTACAGTCCTATTTCTTCTTCAATCACTACTTTCAGTTAAATTTAGCTTTATTTTGTGTTGTGTTGTCGGTCTTTTTTTTTGGGCGGAGTGATAGGGTTTGGGGAAGATGCATGACCAACTGGCATTACTTTATTCAGTCTTCATTTACTCTTCATTCACTTCCTTTTGAGTTATCCAGTATAAGTCTTTCTTTGGAATCTTTATTGTATCATCTATTTTTGCGTCAGTCTACAATCACCGTCCATGTCCGAAGGTCCCCTCATCTCCTGTTCATGATTTCATGCTGCACAGTTTCATAGTCCGAAGGGTACCTCTTTCAAGCATCAGGTGTAACAAAGGGTAGGAAAATCACAAGTTGAATTATGTGAAAGTAGAGGAAAATCTTTCATTAAGGATTTTAAAGGGCCTTTTATTAAATGCTTCGAAGAAACACGCCTTATGACATTATCATTTACATGTTAATTCAGTTAAAGGTTACACGAAAATGGCCCGAAGACCTCCTTTCTTACCGATTTATTCTCACGAAGCATATATATGAAAAGGGTGCGACTTTTCAATGGAAGATACGCGAAAGGATTACCTTTTCTCAAAAATAGTATATATAAGGATAAGGGACTGGAACTCGGGGCGAAACCTCTCCGAACAATGCTTTATTGAGTAGCCTCCCACCCCCCTCCCCTTCTCACTAGGGC